ATTCATTTTTGTACTCTGTAATATTGAAGGCTCTATCTTCTCCAGGTCGACAGATTTATCTTCCTGCTCTGAATAAAAACATCAATTTCAATGTTTAGTGCTTTTGTTTGAGGGAGTACAATGCATCCTGCTGGTATCGCCGTGGTTACCGTCAGGGTTGGTGGCGTCTCCGTTGGCCGGAGCAGCAGCACACATTTTTCTGGCACTAGAGAGCCCCCTGCTGTTGAGGAAGACAGGCAGGTGGACGATGTTTCKCATGTAATCGTGTCCGTTTATGTTGGAGTCTCGCAGGACGCTGTTCAGATTCTGGTTGATGGCTTTGATGATGATGTGTGGGTCGCTGGCAAAGATGGAGATAAATGGACCTTTGGAGAATAAGACCCGAACCTGCAGGAGGAAGACGCTGACGTGACCATGGTGTCTGACAACTGAAAACATGCCATAACCTCCCGTCAGACACAGCCTGCCACCTGTTCTTTCAAATGACAGTGCCTGACATCTGAATTTCTTTCTCTCTTAATATTAAAAAATTTTGATTAACATTTGACTGTTGCTCTGTAGCTGCGGTGGCTATAACTCATTACTGTAAGTGAAATTGTTGTTCTCAAAAACATCTGATTCTCCAGTTCAGGTTCTTTGAACTGAACTTTATTAAACATCTAAACAGCTATTTGTTGATTCATTCTGAAATCTTAATTTTAAAATATGTTATATAAAATGATCATCTCAGTATATATATTGATGTTTGGCGTGTGCAGCGTCCTCACTGTGTCGAGCATCTGCAGAACTTTGTCCTGTTCACAGGAGTCAAGTCCGTCGATGACGACAGTCAGCCTGGTCTGATGCTGCGTGAAGCCATCAATGGTCTTCGCCATCCTCGCCATCAGTTCCACCTCATTCTTCAGGACCTGCAGGAAGGCACCCAAGGTCAAGTGACTCTATTGATTGACATATTTCGTAATAAAAGCCTTACAGTCTGGAAGTGTGCAGCTTCGGAGGGAACCTGTAAACAGACGTCATCAAACTAAAACCACGAGACTGACGTCTTTCTCAGATGTCCTGTCGGAGACAAATGGCTCACCTTCATGAAGCCTTCGCTCTTTAGTTTGTGCATCCTGTTGGCGGCTCTGTGGAGCCTCTTTCTCTGAGAGTTCAGCACCGAGTCGGTCACCTGCCACCACGTTTTGCAGTTCAGCAGCAGAGCCAGACCCACCACACTGCCGATAGCAATCAGCACAGCGTTCACCGTCTGGTTTTCCCCATCCACCTTAAAGATGGCCAGCAGTGCCATGCCAGTCACCAAACAGGCCAGAACGACGGCAAAGAGGACGAAGGACGGAATACAGCATGTCTTCTTCCACTTCATCTTACCTGAGATGGCAACCAAAATAATTAAAGACATACTGTGTGTGTGTGTGTGTGTGTGTGTGTGTGCGTGTGTGTGTTTGTTTATGTGTGTGTGTGTGCATGTTTACTTTGCGTCTCCTCAGTCCTGAAAACTCTGAAAAGACGTGTAGCAAGGAAGCCAAACTCTCGTTCGCAGGCGTCAGACAGCGTTGCAATCATCTCGGCCATCGAGGTTTCTCCTCCGACGCTGGACAGACGGTTGTAGTCTGTGAACAGAAACCTGACAGCAGGTCCGACAGAGGTCAGAGGTCATTGTTTTATTTTCATTGTCAGCACCACCATGACCCAGCAAAAAGAAAAGATGATAAAGAGTAGGGCTGCAACAACAAATTAATTTAATTGATTAAAGTCGATTATAAAAATTGTTGGTAATTCATTTCATAATTGATTCGTCTGGTCTGTTATCAGACTACACTCTGCTCTGACTGACAGACTCTGGAGAGTTGCTGGGTGCTCACCTGACAGGCAGAGCTCTGGTGCTTTGTTCTGGAAGCTCCGGCGGGTTGACAAACATCAGCTTTAGCAGCAGCTCCAGATACCCGATGTGACGGGCCAGACGAGTGCTGATCAGCCACGCCCAATTCCAGCTCTCACCCTCCCGCCGCCCGCCGAAATACACCACCACTACGAGATGACACTCTTTAATTACACACCACAGGAACAGCAAGGGATGGATCTAACCCCTAACCCTGTCACAACGAGCCAAATCTTACCAAAGAAAAGGTAGAGCAGAGCAAGCAGGCTGAGGGAAACTGCCATGGCCAGTTTAGGGTCGACAGTGAAGCCGAGGACGATGGCAACGGTGCCACAGAGCAGCAGAGACAGAAACACGATGAGCCAGGAGAACTGAAACAAGGGCTCGATCTGCTGTCCAGCAAACGTCTTCATCTCATCTGAGCAGGAGGAGAAGGAGGAAGGTCAGCACATGGTGTGTTGGTGTGTTCTTGTGTTGTGTGTGCACATGCTCACCTTCCAGCTTCTTGAGCAGGAAACTTTTGCCGCTGCCCCACTGAGCGTACAGACCCACGCAGATGGGCGGCTGCATGGTGGGTTCACTCAAGATGTCAGCCAGAGCCGAGCTGTACAGGTCATAACCCAGCATGTCTCCGTCCGAGTCTGTGGGGGACAGGTGACCTGCAGGAGGAGCAAGTGTGTTCTGTCGCATTGCATGTTGTTATGGTAACATGTAATACAGTGTTCAGATGCAAACATGATGACATTACTACATGATATTCACTGAACGTACGCGCTCCAAAAATCTGCGTGAGGATGCTCTTCTGGTGGCTGCAGTCAATGTTGTATGGCGTCTCTCCCGCCTTGTTGGGTCGGTACAACAGACGGCCATCTTTAGGGTTTCTGAGGAGGAGCTCGGCCAGGCGGCGACTCCGACCACGGATGGCGATGTGAAGGGGCGTGTCTCCTTTCTGGAATCACATGACGACAAGGTACGAAAAGTGCTGATTGTGTGATGACAGAAGTTGTGTCGTTCACTTTATTAAAAAATATTTCTACCAACAATAAAATTATATCTGTACTTAATATCAACCAGATTCTAGTTCTATGTTCTCCTCGTGTCCTCGTAACTACTGGTAGCATGAGGCGCTACCTGCAGCACCATCAGGTTGCACAGGTAGTCCAGCTCCTCCAGGAGGACACATCCATACATGTGGTCACAAGAAGGTTTGTGTCTCCCAGCACAGTCTCCAGAGCCTGGAGGAGCAACCAGGAGAGCTGGACAGTAGAAGAGCATCAACACAGCAGCAGGGCCAGTGTCTGCTCCTTTGTGTGAGGAGTAACAGGAGGAGCACTGCTCTACAAAATGACCTCCAGCAGGCTACTGGTGTGTTTCTGACCAAACTGTCAGATCCTTGGAGAGTCACACAGACCTCCATGTCACAGCCAACGGTTCCCTGAGTGTGTCAGCAGTTCCTGGATGACAAAGGCATTGACTGACCCTCCCGTTCCTCTGACCTAAATCCAGTTGAGCACCTATGGGAAGTGATGTATCTGACGGCACCAAGTCCGTCCACAGACTGTCCAGGAGCTCAGTGATGATCCAGGTCTGAGAGGAGATCCCCCAGGACTCCATCCTCCGACTCATCAGGAGCATCATGTCATTGTCAGGAGAACATCCAGGCACCAGGAGGCCACACCCACTGAGTCACATGATGACTTGATGAAATTCACACTCGTTGGATCGGCCTGTGGTTTCAGTTTGTTACTGGGATGTTCAGTGTGGTTTGAATCCAGCCTGGGTTGATGGTTTTAGTTTCCATAGATCGCTGTTACGTCGTCCATCAAGATCTGATGTGTGATTCAAGTCTTCCCTTAATTTAATATATATATATATTGCTTATTTGTTTGAAAGAAAATAATTCAGAAATTTCTTTTGATGATCAATTAAGTTTAGTAAAAAAAATTTGGAAGCAAAAATGTTTCAGGTTCTTAATAAAAATGTTTTTCTTCTTTATGTCAATAATCAATAATCAGTCCATTTCTGCAGAAATAAAAAGCTTCTCGTCTGTTATTGATTAATGGCATATTGATCACGGCCTCTGAATCAGCATTTGAATGCGTCTTCATGTTCTCACCTTGTCAACAGCCGACACTTTGGCTCCTTTGTCGAGCAGAAGCTCCACGATGTCGATATTTCTCATCTTTGTTGCTTTGATGAGGGGCGTCTCTCCGTCCTGACACCGGAAGCAGAAAAACCCAAGTCACAAAATTACCATGTCACAACAGTCAGTCCGTCTAAGTCACTGCACCACCACATCATGAAGTCACCACGTCACAGTGACAACGTCATAAAGTTACAGCGTTACGAAGTCACCATGTCATGTCTGCGTGATGTTGACAACAGCAGATGACAACATCACACTCGACACACTGTGGCTCGACCAGTAGGTGATTCAGGGTGAGTCCAGGTTATTTGGGTTCAAGGGATAGTTCACTCAGAAATAAAATGTACTCATTATCTCTTCACCCCTATGCCAATGGAGGGGAGGTCCACAAAACACTTCTGCAGTTTCAGGTGTAAACAGTGTTGCAGCGAAATCCAAAATAATTGAAGAAATTGTTAAACTATCTTCAGACTTAAAAAAACATAACTTGTCATCCAATTGTCCGGAAGCCTCGACATTCATTCGACTCAAAACAGCATCATTTACACCATGTTTTAGGCCTTAATGTCTTGGATATCTTCTGACTAGGGGTGCATTCAGGGACCATCGGGGATACTAACAACCTCTAGCTTGGTCACTTCTGGTGGACTCTAAGCCTTAAAACTTGGTGTAAATGACTTTGTTTTCGATTCGAATATGAATACCGGGGCTTGTGGACACTTGTATGACACCACAAGAGCAGTATGGAGGCATGTTTTTTCTGTTGTTTATTTTGCTGAAGATAGTTCACTAATGTCTTCAATTGTATTGAATTCGGCTGCTACACTGTTTACCCCTGAGACTCCAGAAGTGTTTTGTGGACTCAAACACTTCCATCGGCATAGGGGTGAGTAGATAATGAGTCAACAATTCCTTTAAGTCGAGGTGAGTTGGTCTGAGTCGGGGTGAGGAGCGATAAGACAGGTCTTACCTTGGTGCAGGTCTCGGTATCAGGGTTACACTGCAGGATGTCTCGCACCATAGTGGCGTTTCCTTTCTCCACKGCCCAGTACAGAGCAGTTTTACTCTCCTGGAAACAACAGAGACACAGAACCTGATTCTCTGACCTAACAGGATGAGGACAAAGGGAGGTCAATGGTGTGGACAGGTTGACGTCGAACGCTAAGACAAGGGTTAAGGTTAGGTCGAGGGGGATGACGATGG